AAATCTATAGACCGACAATCTCAAAGGATGTGCCTCGTTGGCATGGACCAGCAGTGGTCGCCGACCTGACTTCGTTGTGCCATGGACTGGTAGGTGTCAGATGGCAAGGCCGCAACCTGCAGGTGCGTGTTCAAGGTTGTCGTAGGGCTTTGGCATTTGCTATTATACCAATATATCACTCTGTGGGAACACACACACCCATAGAAATTCTTAGGCGCGCAGCTGAAAGTACAATAGGTGCAACTCTTCGACTAGGTTGGCTCCGGCAAAATGGTCGTTGGGTCAGTTGTGAAGCTAATAAAAGGTATGGTGAAGTTTTAATGGCAGGTTTGCATGTGGCAGCTGTAAATTTGCAGCTGCACGGAGTCGTTAGCTTTCGCTTTGGAAGACATGTCAGAACGATCACGGGGGTACACTGTGATGATGTTCTTTTGGTTTGGTGGGAGCCGGGACATTTCGACTCTTGGTGCCACATGTATTTGCCAGGACAAGCTTCTGTTAACATAGCAAAGCTGGGAACCGACAATTCTGCGTTTGTTCAATTTTATGGAGGACAGCATTGCAATTGCTGAGCTTCGTGAAGAAAATGAAGACATTCCAAACATAGGAGGTGTGCATGAACCCCGCATGCCAATCGTAAGAGAGGTCATGCCTCCACAAATAGTCCAAACTAATAAGACTAAGGCACTTTGCAACCAAGAACCTGTAAGTCGACAAGCAGCAAGCGCTCCCCATGATTCTAGTCAAGGGTCGGGGTTTCACAAGACACCTAATAGCACTTCTGAGCCTAGGACAGATAATCCAATCATCTCAGAAACGCCAGATGAAGACAATGAGGAAGCAGCCACTGAGGGCGACAATCCGCCCGTCTCTTTGACAGAGCCTGACGCTTTACTTGGATGGAGCTGTTCGTATGTCAGCACTGCAGAGATCAATAGACATACGCTGGAACGCGAAGTGTACTTAATCTCAGAAGACGACCAACCACCAGAACTAGTATTCTTGAAGCCAATGCACAAGTATCTAGTCCTGCCAAATAGGAATATTGATGATGAGACCGACTCAACCACTGAGGTGCTTTTTCAATACGACTCACGCAATGAAATGGCCGTTTCGGTCATTCAACGAACACACAACATCTTGACCCGTGACGAAGCTTTAGCCAACGCTGAAGCGTGTCGTGTTTCGATGATTAAAGAATTGCATAGATGGAATAAACACAACGCTTGGAGAAGGATGCCTTTGAGCCAAAGTCGTAATCTTCTTAAATCTAAATGGGTCCTTAAGTGGAAGCAGATAGAAGGTTCAAAACAAATAAAGAGCAGACTTGTGGCCCAGGGATTCCTAGACAAACAGGACACAGTGACTTTTTCGGGAACAACTTCGAGGTGGGGCCAGCGAATTCTCATAGCTGTTGCAACTCAGATGGAATGGTCACTAGTCTCCGCTGATGTGAGCGAAGCCTTTCTTCGCGGGATCACATTCCAAGAACTCTCCGAGTATGACAAATCCTCCCCAATGCGGGTGGTAGAGATAGAACTTCCGGAGGGAACGGCCGAGCTTCTCCGCACGCTGCCAGGAATGGAAGGCTACGATCCCAAGACTGAGTGCCTCTCGATGCTCAAACCGGGATTCGGGTTGCGTGACGCCCCTAGACTTTGGAATATGGCCTTACTCCGGGTTCTCAATGAAGGAGGTCTTCATCGGTGCCAAACCGATCGCCAGTTGTTCGTTAAGCACGAAAGTGCAGAACTAGTGCTTTTGGTCTCTACACATGTTGATGATCTCAAAATAACCGGCAAACCCTCCGAAATCAAGAGTCTGTTGTCCTTGTTGACTAAGCATTTCGATGAACTAAGACTTTCAACTGATAATTTTGAACATCTCGGGTTAAAGCATGTTAGGCGTGATGATGGGACTCGAGCCATATCCCAAGAACATTACATTAAGGAACTAAACCCAATACCCGAATGTGACCTTAAGAACCATCGAAATGAGCCAGTCAACGAAGCCATGAAAACGCAGTTCGCTTCGTTGCTTGGTGGCCTAGCTTGGATATAGTTCAGACCAGGCCAGATGTTGCAGTATTCGTTGCCGCCCTTCAGAGAAAACTTCAGGAACCAAACGGTCAGGATCTGATCAACCTGAATCGTGTGTTGTCATACGTGAAACGAAAGCCGTTGTCGCTCGTATATCACAAAATTCCCGACGCATGGAAGTTATATGTGATTTCCGACAGCAGCTTTAAGGGTGAAGACGACTCAGCACTTGCAATGCGCAGTGGCATTATTGCTCTGGGCAGCAAACAGGGACCCAAGCCTGGCTTGAATCATCTTCAGCTCATTGAGTTTGTATCAGCTAATAATATCAATCTCGCTATGACAGAAGTGCTGTCAGGCCATAAAACAGCCACAGAACTTGCTAGAGTTCAAGAGCTAGGTAAGAACTGTCTCGAAATGGAGACGATAATCGACGCCCGTAGTGTGTTTGACTGTGTAGCTGCCCCCGCTGTTAAAACAACAACAGATCAACTCATGCTCATTCACGCTCTTAAACTCAAAGAACTGCTGGCTCGAAAATCACTTCTCGTTTGACTTGGATAGATACCAGAGACATGCTAGCAGATGGATTGAACAAGGGTATCATTTCTCGTGATGCGCTCAGACTGTTTTGTGAAAAGGGAGTTTGGTCGGTCGACCATATGCCAAAATTTCACGAAGAGCCCAGCGAAAATCGCTCAGACACCACAACCTGAGTCAAAGGGTAGCAGCATCCATGAGAGGCATGCAGGCATTGGGCCTCGTGCCAAAAAATCTACAGATCCGATTCTCGTCCGCAGTGTGCACATTTTCATCAAGTTACCTCTAGGTATTGATCACCGTCTCACCCTATGCATGGCCGCCCTCGCGAAAGGACGTGACGCAGCGGCGCGGGGAGCGGAACTGGGGTGGGACCGTGGTTCGCTGCCAAGTTTCGACTCTAGTAACAAGGGCGTTGCTACTCGTAACAAGGGCATTGCTACTAGTAGCTAGAAGCTACTAGTAACAAGGGCATCGCTACTAGTA